GGGCAGGGCAGGGCAGGGGGCAGGGCAGGGCAGGGCAGGGCAGGGCAGGGCAGGGGGTGGGAAGGGCAGCACGGCGTTTCGAGAGGCAGTCTTTGCGGGAAATTGGCCAAGTCCCCGCTAGGCCTGGAGGCCCTGCGTCCCTGGAGCCTGGGGGGTACCCCCCAGACTGCCGGAAACCACCCCAAAAAACACAAAGTCCCGCAATGGTCCTCCTCATCGCGGGCTGACGTCCGTATTGTCTGAGGCGTAGCCGAGTCATTTCCGTCCCCGTATACCGGGAGGCTTGACCCTCCCTCACCGTGCCGTCGGGACGCTCGGCAGGGGGCCTAGGTCGGAGCCTCAGTTTAGGGTTTAGGGTTCAGGGTTCAGGGTTTAGGGTTTAGGGTTTTGAGAGGTTTTGGGGTTTGGGAGTTTAGGGTTCATGGTTTGGGGCTTCGGGTTTAGCATTTTAGCGTTTTGAGTGCTGGGAGCTGACGTCCGCAGAGCATTGCCAGTTGCCTATATCTGGGATCGGCACCTCCATGTCTGTTGCATGAAGTTCTTTCGGAGATCGCACCAGGAGCCGTGCCTGACACATATCACGTCACATGACCTCTGCCGCCTCAAAATTCCACAAGTCACCAAGGCTGCCATCTCAGGGCTTTGCCACATCCAGCGCGACGTTTCCTTGCCCGACTACCTGAAGGAGGCGAAGCTCGGGGGAGAAGGCCTTTATTTGTGTAGTTGTGTAGTTGTCAAAATTATGGTCCCTTTTGGGGTACCCTAAATAATAGGTGCCGTGTTATATTAAGGACCCAAAAAGGGACCATAATTTTGACAACCACCCATTTGGCTGCCCAAGGCTTGCGCCACAGCAGCTTCGCCAGCTGCCGGAACCTGGGCACTCCTAGGAAACCCGCAACGAAAACCAGCCGCGTCGGTACCAGCCTTCAGATTCTGGTAGTCCGGATGACCTGGAGTAGATGAAGGCTACTGTAATTATAGCCATAGCATCAAGTGCTACCACGATTTTGCACCGGGCCGTTGTACCACTTGACGAAAGCCGGCGCCCCAACGACGCCTTCACAGTCTTCGCCTTCCGAGATGGATCGGTTCCACCGTGACCAGAACTGACGTTCGTGACAGAATCACCATGCATACTTCAACTACGAGCTTCTGCTTTCCCCCACGCAAGCTGCAGAGGCCTGGGATGCCCAGCCGCCTTTCGCCGCTTGCCCCCGTGCCTCAGAGTTCGGGGGTTGAGGGCTGGCTTAAAGGACAGCGGAGGCCAAATCCCACAACCGAACCCCGCCACGGCAGCAGAGTCAGATATTGGCAGTCCGGCAAAAAAATTTGGGCTATGGGAACAAGTACCTCGAAGCCCCAAGTCCCCCAAGGAAAAACCACCAAATCTCCAAACCCTGAGCCCGATCCCAAACCCTTGTAGAACCCGCCTAAACTCCCCTACCCCAAACTCCAAACCATTCCAAGCACTACATGTATCAGCTGCTGGGAGACCAAGTCCCAGACACAGCACCACGGCATCGTACATCTTGCGCAGCGCTTCGAGGGACAGGCTGCCCTTCCCCACCTCTGCGACTCCGAACCCTAAACCCTTTTGGCCGGGGGGGATGGGAGTTTAGACCTTCGAGTTGAGGTCGCATTCTTTTAATGAAAGCTCCTGCATGCTCAGGGGCTCGTGGGAACAATATTTCACTCTTATTGTTGCTATTGCTACTAGTATTATTACTTTTATTGCTACTGTTCATGGTCAGCGGACATCTGTTCGGCCTCAACATTCCCGAAGAATCTGAAGTTCGGCGTCTGCGCCACATCGGTGAAGTCGTTGATCACGTTCTTGACCTGGGGACCCCTTCTAGGCCAGACTTCAGAGATTTGACAATAAGACTATGTAACTCGCAGTGCAGACTTAGACGCAGAAGCAGAGTGCTGAAATGCCAACTGGAGGCAGGAAGAACCCTAAACCCCAAACCCAAAACCGAAGACAAGAGAAGGCAAACCCAACGGAGTACAAAATCTGGAAAACCCTCGCCCCGGACTTCCTAAACCCCACATTCTTAAGGGTTTAGGGTTTGGGGTTTAGGGCCCCGAGACTTCCCCAAACCCTCTGACCTCTGGGTGGTCCGGAGCAACGCCGAACCGAACCAGCCCGAAGGGAGTTGGGAGTCGCTCGAACCTCGGACAGTGGGGAGTTTCCGAAAAGAAGGGGTACCTTATTTGGGGGTCCTTATAATAAGGATCCTACTATTTAGGGTACTATATTAGGGTTCCCTATTTTTGGAAACCTCCAGTAAATCCCGGCTTCAGGGTTGAGGGCTGGCATATAGTAGAGTACAGTATACTCTTCTTATATACTCTACTTTGCAATACCATGCCATACGATACTATGCTCTAGTACCGTGTGGTATCATCCCATACGCTACTAGACTACCTATAGTCTCCATCTCCATTGTAGTTCCTTTTTTTGGTTTAACCAATTATATATTAAGGAATTTACAAGGTATCCCCCAAAAGGAACTACAATGGAAACTACAGGTAGACTCCAAAAAACCAGACCTTCCTTTCCGATAGCACTGTCGGGGAGTCTGAGAGCTGCGCATGTCGATCTGAAGCGGTCCTTCCGCCTTGCCGGGCTGTCAGGGTCCCAGGGTTGGGACAGGGTTTTTAGGGTTTAGGGTTTTAGACTTAAAGGCATTTAGGGCCTTTCGGTTTCAGGTTTTAGGGTTTAGGGTTTTTAGGGTTTAGGGTTTTAGGCTTTAGGGCCTTTAGAGCCTTTGGGTTTGAGGTTTTAGGGTTCAGGGTCTGGGGTTTGAGAGTGCCCAAACGGTCCTTCTTCTTGAAGAGGTATTTGGAGGTGTAGAACCCCGCGGGGCCACTTCCAACAATCTCGGATGTGCCCAAGCCACATGCATGAAAATCGGAGGTCGCATGTCCGGGAGACAGACAGCAACATGCAGGCTTCGCCGCCCTGTTTGCAGCTCTTTGGCTCGCCCTGCATCTCCCAGCAATCGGCAAGATGAGAAACCATACGATGGACAGTCCCTGCAGCTGACTGGGTTCGGTGCATCGAAGGGCCGCCTGCCGAAACGGCCTGTGAAGCAGAACCGAAGTAGCGTGAGTTGCACGCCAGATGCATGAGCTCAAACCATGAGGCGACGACCTCTGAAGGCCGCGCGCTGTTGCGGACAGCACCATGGCAACGGCAACCCGTGCGGCGGCTTTGGGTGGAGATATAGGGGTTTCCGAAAATAGGGGACCCAAATATGGCACCCCAAATAGTAGGATCCGTAATATAAGGATCCCAAAAAAGGGTACCCTAATTTTCGGAAACTCCCACATGGAACACTTGGAGGAAGCTTCTAAGATGCTACGATACGGGCCAGTCCAGGGAGGAGATGTCTCTGAGCTACGGGCATATGTGTGTACTACTAGGGCCTACCGGAGTATAGGGGCCTGAGACTGCTCCGCATCTCCACTTCGCTTATGCTTTTGGGGCTTGCACATGGCCTCTTATGTAAATCCAAGAGGCTGGTGTTCTGCTTTGCAGCTTGCGGATCTTGCGGCTTAGGTCAGAATAGCACACCAAGGTGCAGAGAAGAAAGGGACAGAAGATGACACAAGCCGTCTCGTGCCCTGCCTTGCTGGGCCGGCTTGCATCTACAAACTCTTCCAGTAGGGCCTTCAAGACCTGGTGGCTTCAGGGATGCAAGGAGGACAACGACTGGGCACCCTAAACCCTAAACCCTAAACACCCTAAACCCCTAAACCCTGAACCCTAAACCCTAAACCCTTCCGGCTTCCGGGGTCCCCCGGCCTCGGGCTCCATCTTCCGGCGCAGGCTCGCGAGCGATCGCAGCACGCGTCCCATCACTCGCGGGTCACCGGCCGACACCCCCTTGGCAAGCAAAGATCATAAGGTTTAGGGTTTAGGATTTAGGGTTTAGGGTTTAGGGTTTAGGGTTTAGGGTTTAGGGTTTAGGGTTTATGGTGCACCAAACCTCCAAGCCGAGTTAAGCGCATGGCTGCACCTGCATTCATGGCTGAGCCCCTCGCTGCTGCTATGGTTTTCAGATTCTGGCTGAGCGCTTCAAGGAGAAGCGTCCTGCTCCACCATGACCCATCATAGTAGCGTCAACATGCCCAAAGCAAAAGGAAGCTGCCATCTACCTTGCAAGTTGCCGGAAGACCGTGCCGACATGCTCAAACTGGTCCTCGGATCCTTTGGCTTCTCGGGCTCTTTCTTCTCATCCTGAAGAAGGGCACTAGTAGTTGGAGTAAGAACAAGCTGCGCTCGCACCCGCGACGTGTTTCCGCAGTCGAAGGCCCGCTTGCACTGTGCTAATGCTAAGAGTCTGGCTTTCTTTCCGTCTTCTTTACCAGCCTCCTTTGCATCCTTCATCTCCACATCTTTTGATTCAGCATCCTTCTTTGCCTTGCTGGCCCGTCACAACAAGGACTTGCGGGTCCGCTCCACTCCAGTGCCTCTTCTGGCATGGTCGTGTGCTTGCCGTAGCCTCGTTGGCAGGAAGGCCCAGGGAACCCAACTACCTGACTCAACCGGCTTTTGATCCTCAAAGCGCGTCAGGAAAATGAGGGCAGAACTTTCTGGAATGGCCGGTCCAGGATTCTCACTCGAGCCAAACAGCAGTGTTCACTTCTCCCTAGGACAGGAATATCATCCACGAAGCCATGTGCGGCAACGCCGGCTCCAAACAGCTTGCAAGCTTGCCTTTCTTCTGCCATGTAAGATAGGGAGAGAGCACCAGATGTTCAAGCAGCAACAGCATCGACAAAGAGACACAACATACTGCAGGAAGGACCGGGAGCGACACACACACAATGATGGGTGAAACCATGCAACAGCTACGGAAGCAAGCCGCATATGGAGCATAAACTTGGCTTAGCCAGAAGCTCCCCAACATCTCCACTGAACTGCTGAGAAGCGAGTCATCGGGTCTCGCTTTACTCAAGTATGGCCAGCCTCCCAACACAAGGGAAACTGCAGACGCCACTCTTCCAGGCTCCGACGTCCCAGCGCCTTCCTGGCCGCGGGGCTTTCACGCTCTTCACCCAGCGTCGGAACCTCACAGACAAGGATGACCGAAGTGAGACCAGGTTGCCAGCTTCGAAGGCCACGGCCAGCAGCCGAGCCCAACAGCTCGTCCTGCGGAAAGGGCATGGAAACGCGTGCTTCAAGCAGCCCGCGAGAGCGGCCTTCGGCGAGTGGCTTCAAAGGCCTCAGGGCCAACACCTGCAAGCTAAACAAAGTTCAACCCATTCCAAGCTTTGGCGTCTTTGGCTCGAGGCTCCTGAGACGGGTGCCCGAATCTCATCCTCATAGTAGCGCAGCCTGCAGTCTTCCATGTGCAAAGGACGTGGTCAGAGTGTATCTGGGCCAGCAGCATTTTCTCCTCCTCCTTGGGTGCACACTGTTACTCTGCGACAGGGTTTCCGGTCACTGGGTATTGGGCAACACGAATGCATGTCGCGCAGGGACCTACACTCGAGCTAAAGCCACGGCTGCCGGCTGACTAAAGGGTTTTAGTTTTCGGTCGTACTGTTGATGGACCAATTTCTGCATGACCCAAATATAGTATAGTACAATAAATCCCACAGTTTAGGTATATAAGGTCATGCAGGATTTTGTCCATCAACCGTATCAGCAAAGACACCACCGATGCACTCAACTCAGTCTTCGGAATCCGCACATCATCTTCTTCATGCTCCGATAGACAAACAGCAATTCTGATTCATACAGTGCCTACGGTATCTTGCAGGCCGCGTGCGGTCGAGCTGCCTGATAAAATCGTACAAGGTTGTTGGGTACTCGGACCTGGCAACGGCATTTTGAGCTCAGGGCTCCGGCCAGGGGAGAAGGACAGCATTCAAGTCAGCCGGTGCGACTCCAGCCAGTTGGTCAGAGGCGCTGACAGTGATGCCCGAAACTGTAGACATAGCACTTGAATGTCCGAGCTACAGCTAACAGCTTGCAGTCTTGCACCTCCTGTTCCACCATGCGCTACGCCAGGATCGCCACCGAATCCTGCAAAAGCCACGCGCAAACGAGGTCCTCGAACAAAACTGCTGAGACAGGCCAGGGGTGCTCTTCCGCAGCTGCTCCATCTTCTTCTCCGTGTCCTCTCGGGGAGGGGCTCGAAGCCAATCCTTCTTTACAATGGTGACCATGGAATCAGCAGATCCGTCCCGCAACTCTTCCTCAAACTCTTCTTCCTCGGGAAGAGCATAGCAAGTTCTGTACAGTAGCGGACTGAAATTCGTGTCTGCGCAAATTCTGAGCAAGACCACCCGTCCCCTGCAGAACCCTGTGCTTGGAGGAGAAGGGATATTGGCATCATGGCTCCGACATGCTTCGGAAGCGCGATTGCGTGGTTTTCCCGATTCAGAGTAAGACACATTGGCGTGGACCAACCAAACAGACCCGAAAAGCACGTCGTGCGAAGGCTGCTGTCGGTGCCCTTGCTCGTGAGGGAGGACATTGAGGAGAACAGAAGCACACGAGCTTGCTCTTAGGAGCGGCAAGACACTGGGCTCTACAATACTCTCTTACAGCAACAGAACGTTAGAAGCTTTAAGTGAAGCACGTAGCAGGACCTGTGCCGAGAAGGGAGGCACCCAAAGCATGCAAATGAGAAGCTCGAAGGGTATTGATGTCACAGACGTATGACGTCTGGGCAGTTGTCAAAATTATGGTCCCTTTTGGGGTACCCTAAATAATAGGTGCCGTATTATAATAAGGACCCCCAAAAGGGACCATTTGACAACCACCCATCTCTGCAACACGACGCGAACAAGATCGAGCTGAGCACCCACCCTCACACGCACGTACAAGCACAAAGCACTCGGGCACCAAGAGCCGAACCTCGAAAAAACGGACGACCTCTTCTTCAGAGTTTGCACCTTGCTGCCCCACAGAACATTCGCATCACTCTGGATTCAACATTAGCCTTTCAAGAGAGCAATAGCTAAGCTGCGCCCTCCAGAAACGGCAGCTCGGTACAGGACCGTTCTTGTCCTCACTGGAAGACTTCGGCAGGAATCTGCAGCGAAGATTTGACCTCAGTCTATCCGGCCAAGTCCAGTGAATGCCGCAAAGTTCGCTGAGGTTGGGGCGCATTGGCCAGCCATAGAGTTCCATCGGCCTTGAGTCCCGAAGCAAAGCTTCAAAACAGAGACACACAGCGGCTCGACCTCGTCAAGGACAAACTCAAACTGGCCCTGCACAATCTCCATGCCCTCAGAATGCCATGGGCTGACTAGTCTAAGGGTCACATCCTTCTGCCATACCACTGAGGCAGCTACAACCCTCCTGGACTTGGACCGCAGATGATCATTCAGGCCTAGAAGACTGGCCACTCGAGTTATGACAGCATGCAAGCTCTTCTCGAGGTCTCTGACATGAGGGCGACAGACAAGGCTTGAGGCGCCAGCGTTTGGGTACGGCAGCAAGTCGGGCGGCCTCACCAAAGCTGCGGCATGGCTTTGGCAGGACACGAAGGAGAAGAGATAGCTGTGGAGCCTTGCAAGGAAGCCCGGCCTCTGATTCCGCCGACTTCTGAGCGAGAGCCCAGTTGCGTCCTGATGCCTGCTTTTCATGAAGAGGAATCTACTGTAACAGCGAGACTTCATGCATTCATCCCGAAGTTCTCTGCCAGAAACACTCGCTTTGTCTCTGAAGCACTGGTCTCTTCGAGATCTGGGCCTGCCCTGCAAAGCCCGTTAACCGTCAGCATTACATCTTGCAGGTGTTCGCAAGGCAGCTTATGAAAGTATCTGCATCGAAGTGTCTTCGACATTTCAACGCAAGAAGAAGGATTCGACGAACTGATGTCACATTTTACGGCCTGCAACCTCAAGGGCCCGGACAGCAAACACGAGCTGGTTCTTCACGTCTGAGGTCTCTTTGACAAGCTTCTTGATCGCCTGTCGTGTAATCTTGTTCTCATAGCTCATCTTCGACATCTGGAAGCTCTTTGCTGGCCCATGCAACTCCATGCATCCTCCAACAAACTCATCCAGATCAATCAGCCCGCTTGAGTCCGCATCAATAATGGTGAACAAAGTCCACACATCTTGAGTTGATATTCCCATCGATTCGAGAAAACTAGACATTTTTGGGGTGTTCACAGCTGTCCTGAACTCGTCAATGCTGACCATGTTCGAATTGTCATGGTCAATCTCCTGGAAGAGCTCTTTCAAAGATTTGACCAAAGTCGTCTGCTTGTTCAACTGCTCAATGGCCCTGATGTCGCGGTCGGAGTTCGCACTCTCGATGGCTGTGTTACAGAAAACACCAGTAACCTTAAAAAATCCAACTGGCACAAAATGGTGTGTACGTTCTTAAAGTCTTAAGAAATCTCGACAACAAGCACACGCGAACCCAAATCTTGCTATCAAAGTCCGAGCCACCACGTTCATAACTGCAAATACTGCGATTAGCACATAGAACACCATGCAGGCCACTGCAATGAGTGAAAAGCTTTTCAACGGATCCAATGCTTCACCCCAGCTCAAGCCACCTGATATGGCCATAAACAACGTCAACATACTTTCGAAGATGCTCGACCAATACTTATCAAGCACACCATCTTCGCAATGGGGCACTGCATTGGTGTTTCCGGTAGCTGCAATCGCTTCGAACCTGCATTGATCTTGCACAAGCTGGGTCAACACCACGCCGAATGAATAAAATAGCCTGCGAGCACAGCTTGACGCGGAACGCCGTTGCGAAAACCGGCACAAAATCACAGGTCAGTGACTGGTCCCCGCTAAATGAGGTAACTCGTTCCAATCTACACCCCACGAAACGCTTGGACCACAGATTCGGGCAAAGTCCTCAAAAACAAATTCTTTGCTTCGTGAAAGTGCGTACGAAGAGGATTTCGGCTCTTTCCACTACCTGGCACTACCTGCGGAGTGGTGTGGTCCGAACAGGTCGCAGCCAACCTGCTCAAGCCTCTATAAGGCGAACTGGTCGGTCCGCAGAGGAAGGAAACCTGAAAGCTCGAGGTGCAACGGTTTCAGCACCTGTTTCTTTGTTTGCTTCCTGACTGGTAACAAACACAAAAAGACTTCACGCGCCTAACTTGTCACTGTGTGCACACGTGCACTGCCCGACAAGTTCTCTGCTTCGTGGAAAGTGCGTACGAACCGGAGTTCGGTTCTTTTCCACTGCCCGCGGAGTGGTGCCTTCCTATTATCAACCAACCTGCTCAAGCCTCGAACAGGCGAACTGGTCGGTGTAGGGAACCTCCACTCTCGTGCGGAACGACCACTCACTTGTGCGACTCACTGGGCAACCGGTTAGCGCATTTACCTTCGCTCAGACCCCGGTGCTTCCCCTTAAGGGAATGCCCGCAGCCGCAGAGGCCACACCTTCTGTACGCAGATACGTTAACCCTGGCAGGAACCTGTCAGAAGGGGTGATCGACTGGCTTGGGAACAGTTTTCTTCAGCAACACAGGACACCGTTGGGCATACAGGCCGTCAGTGCCACAGAAACTCCTGGCCGGCTTGGGTCGCAAGTAGGAACCTTAACGTGGTCTTCGTTGGAGATGCAAGCAAGGCTAGCCTGTCACGAAGTGTCGAGAGGAGATTGGGAACCCAGCGACCGGCTAGGCTGCAAAAGGAAGACACCTTCAGTTCAATTCAGGCTCCTGTTCGAGCTCACGACAAAGCCCGTGGACCCCAACTTTCTCCTGTTCGAAACCTGCTAGTGTTGCACCCGGTTTGCTAGGGCGGCTTCAAGGCACGGGCTCAGCCTTGCCTGTGCAAAAGGGGAGCGCTGACGGGAGTACCATGCCGTAATAAAGGCCTTGCCAACTCCTCCAAACACCAGGTGTGCGGCCTCGTCAGGATTAAGTGTTCTTGCGGACAGGGCCCTGCGGATCAACTCAGACAGTTTCTGGATTCTGCCTGTGCTGGGACCGCGGTGACAGAGTCTTGAAGGATCCTCCTGACCACTCCTAACAAGATGGACATCTGCCTGGGCTTCTGTGCTTTGCTCGGTGAAGCCCAACACCGATTGAATGGAGCAAGAACTGGCAAAACCTGACGGGGCTGTTCTAACGGCTCGCTGTAGTAGAAGTCGTCTACGAAATGTGCAGCAGGCAAGATCCACTTAGACTAACGCAAGAAAACAAATTATGTCTGCTATTCGGAGGTATGCCCAAACGGTGCCTGTTCCTCCGCACAGAAGGAGCAAGTTGGAAACACTCGTAGGCCCTCAGTTTTTGGGGATGAACACGAATCACTCCCCTGGGTCTCTAATGGGCAAGGCTCTGTAAGACTGTAAGCCCCGTCGTGGTCTCGGGCCCCAACTATGCTGGCGACGGGAGTGAGCTGCTCGCGTAGGGTCGAGAGTCAGTCACGAGACTGCGCTATTGTGCAATGACGGGTCTTGTCCTGCTGAACTATTGGGAAGGCTCTTCTGACTGAGTTCGAAGGGACACGGGAACCTAGCCTTTGTCTGCTCTTTGCCAACTTCCGCCAGCATGGCAGGGGCGTGTTGAAACCCACCTACCTCCCGGAAAGCTTAACTTCGCAAGTGGTTGAGGGCAAGGAACTGGGCTTTGCTGAGGGGTCGGCTGTACCTTTCATCCTGACGGATGTTTCAGGAAGGTCCGGGCGGCAGGGGCCCCAACACTTGGAAGCTGAACTGGAGTTCGTCTGCCACCTCACGGGTACCTGGGAACTGACAAGGACAACAAGAGGCTGAAGGACTCTACCTTGTCGACACGAGGCTGATGTGTGGAGGGGAAGCCTCTAACCACTGGTCTTGTTCTTCTTGGAATTTCTCCCGCAGTTTACAAACGTCGGCGACCATTTCCTACCTCGAAGGCTCCAGGCTCGGTCCCAGACTTTGTCCAAACCGTAAGGCCCGCTGCAAGCACGGGTTCTGACTAATAAATTGAGCACGTGGCTGCCGAGCTGCAGTGCCCAGCAAAGGTGCGCTGTCGGGTCTTCAAAAGGTCCTGAAACACGAGGGTCCCACTTGAGGCTGAGTTTAGCCAGGTTGCCGCAGCTTGCTCAAATCGGCCTGCCTAACGGCTTCACGCTAGAGCGCCACAGGAGCGGTTCCGAACTGGGGTACCACTCGTCAAGCGGACCAGCGGTGACTGGTATGACGCTGCAAGAGGCTAGCATAACAAACAAGACGAACTTGGCAGTTGGCAAATGCCACGGGTTGCCCAGCATCTTGCATCGAACTCTGTCAGAGAAGCTGGTGCCGGGCGGACATTGTCCCCTGTGGAATGCCCTGGAGCCACTCACAGGTGTCTGCGTCTGGGGTGGTCCACTGCACGAACCAGGGCTCATTCTCGGCAGAGGGTATTGGTGAAAAGTACCGTGCCTGGGCTTTCGGCATCGTTTCTCCGGTGGGTTGCGTCCTTGCTCCGTGGGTGCTGAAGTTGTCAAGCAAGGGTAGAGGGACCTCGACATCTTCACATCGTCATGAAATTCAGCGGCTTGACAGTCTGACGTGCACTGACGCAGGAACAGGCTGCCAGCGCCTATTGTATCTGCGCCACCTGGCAAGACCAGCCGAGACAACGGGTGGCTGATTGGAGTCGTCACTCGGCGGATCAATGGCGTCGGACCACCACAGCCTCGGTCTAGACACGACTCCCCACGACGCAGCATCGATCACGAAGCGCCGGTATCCGATTTATTGATCGAGCACTTTGTGTAGCAGAGCACGGGGCACGACATTCTCTAACAGGAGAATGTGTTGGCGCTGGAGGGCGCTGGCAAAGCGCTGGAACCACTTACACCAAAGTCGAAACTTGCAGCCTTCTGGTCCACTGCGTCCTGGTTGTGGACCTGACTTGGCTAAAGACGGTGCACGGAGGGCTTGCGAAAACAAAGACAAGAGTGTCTGACGGGCACTGAGCACAAGCTATGCGTCTAACAGGTCTGCTGTTGTAGCTGCAGCATCTCGGAAATGTCGAACTTGACGGGTATGTCCCGAGATCACCTGCTAACAATCGGGATCAGTCTCCCAAGACCAACAAGAGAACGGGCTGAATTCCAAGGTCGCGCAAAGCCAAGAATGCGGTCCCGATACTACAAGACAAGGACAGGACAGCAACGCTGCGAGATGACGGTCTCGCACCGCGAAGTGGGACCCTTTTCACGAACGGGTTGCCGCAGGCGAGGCGCACAGGGCGACGGCAGTTGGGAAGGTTGGTGGTGAGGCGCGCTTGATTAGGGGGACTGAGCTGCCTCCCCAGCGTCCTACCAGCTGTATGTACCATCGAGCAAGGGCGAACATCTGCGTGCTGGCAACAGGGAACACGCGTTGCGACCATCTGAGGATGGCTTCAGGTCCCCCATGACTCCAGCTGCTCCTGTTGAAGAACGCGGGCGCAAGCTCGAGCTAACATGACCACCTGATACTGAGAGGCGATCTCTCCGAATGGGAAGTAAAGACATGAGCCGTCGGGTTCTAGCGGCCGTCTTTCCTCATCTGGACCACCACCTGGAGCATGGCGTGGCACACGCAAACAACATGCACGCCTGTCCTGCACTGGCACTTCTGGAAGGCATTGCCGAACAACTCGGGCGGCATTTCGCCCCGACAAGATTCATCGTGCTGAGGTGCACAACTGCACTTGTGCACTCGGTGACAGCCTCTAGTTTCAGTGTCAGTCTTACTGATGGGAAGTTGTAGCTTCACAAAGCGGGCGTGACGGTTGAAGGTTAAGTTCCCAGCTTGGACATTTGCTAACTCGATGCCTCTGAGCATGAACCAGCTGCTGGTTGCAACACAGGCCTGTGCCACGAACTGGAAGCGCGGTCATCGAACGGGACCTGGAGTTCCAGGTAAGCCGTCTACCGGGAACCTGGGTGTTGCCGACGGAAGCCTCAGATCAAGTTTTGGTGTGGCCGAAGAGCTTGTGCACGGGACTCATCCAGCTAGGGTCCCCGGACGAACCCAGCTTCGCGGTGCTGTCTGGCTACCGAGACGTACTGCGCAGAAGAACCGTCGCCACCCGCTTTCAACAAAGCCCCGACTGCGAACAAGGATTCGCGGGTAAAGTGGCAAGGATGGGAAACCCGACAGCTGACAACAGGCAGCCCACCTGTCTCGCAAGAAGTCGCTGTCGGCTTTTCTTGCCGGGCCGAGTCGTCGAGGGCCAAAGACGGCTCCCACCAAGCCTTCCACATCGTTCGTGGGCTGGACACCACGCTGACGAAAAGCAGCCAAGCCCTCAGCCACTGACTGGTTGAAAAGAGCAGCTAACCGGCTCCTGTGGGACACTCGGAACTTGGCTAACGAGCCCACCAGCACGTCCTCGGAGGCCTCGCTGAGAACCTTACGTGCTGTCATAACCACCGGGCTAACAGTTGGAGGCCCTGACATGGCGGCACGAGGCTCTAACCTGAAAAGCTGAAAAACTCGAGGTGCCAAGGGCTTCCCTCCCGGCTGATTTCGTTTCGAATTTGGCATAACGGAAGCATGAACGAATCTTATGTGCTCAGGGAATCCACACACCCCATGAAGCACACAGAACATCTTGCCACGCCTCATCCATCCTCGATTGGATCGCTTTGTTTACTGCGATCATGCTAATCATACTTACAACTGTTGCTTGCAGGAGTGGATGCCATCGGCTCCCCAACCTGCGTAGCAAAGGTCGACTTCTCCGGCCACGGCCGTGCTATCTTGGACCTTTCCTAGACAGACTTTGTTTTCTGTCATGTGATTACGACCAGTGCATGCAGTGCCTCGCCCTGGTTGTAATAGTACGGCACTCTTATAAACGCAACCCTAAAAGACCAAAAGGGGCCTCAATTTAGAGAACTACCCATGTATTGATTGACAACACAGTCCGCTTTTCCTAAGCAATCCATTCGCCACGCAAGCTCTTATCGCAGCCTACACTGCTCCTCCTGTCCATCTGCAGATTGCACTCGGAAATCATCATCGTTCCAATTTCAGCCAAGTAACAAGCAAAGAAGGATCAGAGTCCACAACAGTGACTTCATGGTGTTCAGGATGGAGAACACAAGAGTTCGCAAGGCGCCGACATAGCGGAGCAGTCGGATGACTCGGATTCCACGCAACGTCCGGGCCAAGCGCATGAAGCGCATGACACGGAGGTGGCTCAACTCTACCTGTGATGCGGATTGTGATGCGGCAATTCCATCCAGGGCCGTCTCCAGGCAAGACAGTAGGATAATGACCAAGTCGAACATGTTCCAGTGTCCATCAGGACCCAGGAAAAATTTCCGGCAACCAAACGCGAAGAACTTTAATGTGATTTCCAGAACAAATATGACTACAATCACCAGGTTGACGATCTCAAACCATTGGGGTATGTCGTTTGTTCCCAATGATGCGGAGATTTCCACCTCAATTCCCAGCATGAGCAGGTTGATGAAGATCAGAGACATGATGCCATACACAAAGAGGTTTGAGGCAACCACCTGTCCGATCCTGTCCTTTAGCGATAGATTCTCATGCTGAGGCGGAGCGAGTGATATTGCACGCTCCACGCGAGAGGCGGCAGCTCTGGCAACCCTCTGCTGTGCAACCATCTGTGAACGGACGAAACTGAAGCGAGAGCTATCCCGCTTAGGGGCATGCGGACTTTCGGGATTTTCGGGCGGCGGAGTCTTCTTGCTGTGCGCTGAACGCAGGCTTGCAACGGAGTGGGACGGGGAAACACGCGGATCCTCAGACGGTGCAGAGCTCTCTGGAAGCGGTACTTGAAGCACGTTATCTGAAACCCTCGGTGGTTTGGGCCCTTTGGGATTGTCCGGGGTGATGCCATCTTCTTCCAACAGCTGCCCAGCACCTTCGAGAGGATTGTTCGGAGCTCGCACGTCAGGAGACTTCTCGAGATGCAGATCCAAACCATGAGAGGCCAGAAGCCTGTCCAGTCTGCTAAAGTCGATGTCTTCCGGATTTGAGCGTCCGTCTGACTGCTGGGAGGCCTGCAAAGATCCCTTCCGCAGCTGCGAGCTCAACTCTCTCAGATGCTCTGCCTGCGCTGAGAATTGCACCCGAACGTAGTCATGGAGCAGCCTGATTTCATCCCGCACGGATCCCTCAAACATATCGTACATCTCCCTGAGGTCATGATCTGCGCCGCGAACCTCGGGAGCTAATGGAGAGGCCTTGTCCTCGTGCCGCACGGATCCCTCGAAAATTTCGTACATCTCCTTGAGGTCATGATCTGCGCCACGAACCTCGACAGCCAATTTGACGGCCTTGTCCGCTTGCATCGCTACATTTGGGAGCATGTGCAGGGCCGCATCGGTCTCAGACGATTGGGCCAACAAGCAGAGGTTTCGTCTTGCGCAGCAAGAACACAGCTCCTGACTCAAGCTCTAACTCCCGGAACCCTCTGTCATGCAGCGATGTACGGCATTCGACATGCCGGTGTGCAGCCCACTTCACACAAAGAAATCCCTGTCACCCGGCCGTGCGACTTGCAGATCGTAGTCGAAGTCGTGCACCACCACCAAGCGGCATGGGCTCCTCAGAAGCACGCACGGGACTCACTTGGCAACCTTGGGTAAGCTTCCGACCCACACCTGCGGGTCCAAGCCACCGTTGTTGATGTCGAAGCTGTAGGTGATATACCTACTTAAACGATCATGGGACTTAGTAAGTAGGGCTATAACTAACTATAAGTACAACCCCAATTAGGGGACTTATAACCTTACTTACTAAGTCCCATGGTCCTCCAAGTAGAACCAACTACGGGAGAAGCATGTGCTCCGACCCCAGTCCGCCCGCCTCGTAGGTACACCGGCCTTTCTGCTTTGGATGGGCACCTCAGTGTGCTATTCATAAATCACATGCAGAATCCTGGGAATGTGACCCTAAACCCTAAACCCTAAACCCCCCCCCCCGCCGACGTGGTCACAACTCCATTGGACCTTCAGGCCGAGAGAAATGAGCACAGCCGGAGAGAAGAGCGAAGAGAAAGTGGAGTAGAGCGCGGCCACGTGTGCATTCTCCTACTCAGGAGCAACACGGTGTGATATGGTTCCGAAAATAAAAGGTACCTTATTTTGGGCTCCTTATAATTAGGATCCTACTATTTAGGGTACTATATTAGGGTCCCCTATTTTCGGAAACCCCCATATGTCATGTCAGCAAAATCTGGAGAGAGAACGTGCACAGCGCGTCCAAGCACACTGCAGAACATTGCCCCATCCTATGCCAAACATTCCCTACCATGCACCAGAATCCCCTGCAGCTTCTTGCAATGTACAGTGCAGCAGCATGTCGCGCAGCTCGCAATACGTTAAAGCACAGAGGTTAAGTGGCTCATTTTCAGGGTCAGGCTTCGCTTCGAAAACATTAAGGCGAGAAGGAAAGAAATGCACAGTCACGTCTGTGGCAAGAGCTGGCGATCTTTGGTAATTCCACGACCCAACTCGTGACATGCAAAATGGCCAGGGTGATAGCCCCCTGATTAGGGGAGGTCATGACCGAAGCATGGGCAGCAAATCATCAGTGCAGCAGCATCAGCTGCATTTTTGACTACCGCACCGCTCATGATCCAGGCTGTCTTCGGCCTGCTACTTTTACATTAGTCAGCTGACCGGACGAGTAAAGCAACAAAGTCGCGAGAGCTTGGTGGCTTATGTGATCAGGATACACTGGTCAGAAGAACGGCATTGACAGGGTGACACTTCATCGGCTGCATCTCAAGTATGAGACACGAAGCAGGATATGAGGGCATCTGCACTTAGGCAAATTCGATCTACGAGCTGTGCACGTGTTTTAACGTGTCACCCGCAGATTCGACAGCACCAAAAATGCGACCCCGCTGGCTGAAGGACGGCACATGCTTGCCGAGACATGCCAAACAACAGACATACAAACCTGCCCAAGTGAATCAGTCTCCGTAGCACGATGGCTCTGATAAATTCTGCGGGTCCGTGCGATGGGAAGAAATCTGCTACAGAAGCCGTGGCTCATTCCTGGGCTTCCTTTTTGTCCGTCTTGAGAAGGAGGTCGGTCTGCGAATGGTAGGTGATTCCGACACCATGCCCCACGTGCTATGAATTCAATTCAGCTTGCTGATGCTCATCCACCCCTCCCTGCCACTGCTCATAAGACATGTGCCCCAGCGTCAGCATCCCTTCTTCAGCAGAAAGATGCGCAGCTAGTCAAGATCAGCCGTCCCAGGTCAAACAGGACCCTTTACACGACCTGCATCGGCATCAACATCATGACCAATCATCGTCAGAACAGCCGTCATCAGCAATAGCAACGACAAACTTCATGAATCTCAACCTCACCTTAATGTTTACCGTAGCCACAATCACCATGCGCAGCAGAAGCCTCGTGTTCCTGTGTCTCATCGTCCTCGTCCTCAACGTCGCAACGTAATCCTCCTCCGCCTCCTTCACCTCCTCCACCTCCTCCGCCTCCTCCACCTCCTCCTCCTCGTTCTAGTCCTGGCCGGAGTCCTCCCGTTCGTTCTTGTCCTAACCTTCTCCTCCTCCCATGCCTCCTCGTCTTCCTTGTCCTCTTCCTGTCCTTCCCCTGCTCGTACTATACAAACGCGATTAGAATCCTGGTGCCCATCCTGATCTCTATTCCCACCCGCATCCTGCTCCACAAAGTGTCTACAGTACATCATCACAGTCTTTTTCACCGGCACGCATGCCACTGGCAACACCACCACCGTCACCGCCAAAATCACCAACAACATCATGATCACCATCATCATCACCACAATCAGCCTCAATCCTCTTCCTCACTATCAACACCACACCACAGCCACGAACACTATGACTGTTACCACCATCATCAGCATCATCACGCCCATCTTCAGCTTCATCATACTTCTCTTCAGTGTAAACCCAAAACTCTTTTTCATGTGACATATAAAGAACAGCAATCAAACCAGAAGCACCAGCAGCATCATCAACATCAAACCCATCAGAATCATCAGCAGCAGCACCGCCATCATCATCCAAATCATCCTGACACATGTTATATGAAAAGATTTATTATCTTCGATTGCATATGTTATGTTCTACTCAATTGTGTTGCTATACTAATATTTATCTGTTTTCCATTAGTTTAGACAATACTATACTACATATCGTTAGTCATACTGCTATGCAAAAAACCTATCTATATATATATGTATACTCTCTATATTGGCCTGCTTTCCTCCTTAGAAGGACCATGCCGGGCCTCGCGGGCTGGCTTTGTCCAACAGCCATAGCAGTTCTGGTAGGTGGCTTCTTCCACATCGGCCTGCTGTGGCATGAACCATGACAATACCGTATACTGTACCGTAAGGTAAGATAAGAAAAGACGAGATAGCATAATCTAGCACAACTTGATATTGTATAATATGGTATGATATACTATGACATGATATAACACAATAGAGTATGACACAGCAGAATAGAATAGAACAGAATAGAAAAGAATATGATGTTACAATCTGCAATTATGGAATATATTATAATTGAATTTGAATGTAATTTAACCGACTGGAAAATAGAATAGAATAGAACATATTATAGTACAGTATAACAAATAGGAAATATATAGCATATTAGATATTTTGCAATATAGTACAATACAATGCAATATAACATAATATAATACTCTAAGATATTATATGTAATACAATACTACAGTTTAACTACTATAACAACGTAACATTATAATACACAATAATACAATACACTATAGTAGAATAGATAGCAATGCAATCCAATCTGTCAAGGCATCCGGCTGCACAGGCCTGAGCACTCATCTTCTCCTCATACGCCGTGAAGCCATGGCAGTACGCCATGGTATCCTTTGTTGCAAGAGTTTCGCGGGAAGCATGAGGAGGCACAAGCTTTGGACTGGGAGCCTGACTGCAATAGTGATGAAGGGATGAAGCATTGTCCAGCCTAGGAAAACGCCGATGACGCCGGCCACCTGGAGTCCGCGGCGATGCTTAGAAACACTGCACACGTCCTTAGTGATGCATGGCGGCACTGAGAGCTGCGCCACCGCCACCTCTTGTGGATCTGACACGTGATTTGGGCTGTCTATGTCCTTCGGCGCTGCACTTCATATGCCCACTGCCACAGCGAATCGCATGCGCATCTACACAGACATTCGGAGTCACTCCGTGTAGCGGGTGACGGAATTCGTGATCATCTTGGCAACAGGCTGGAAGAAGACAAAAGTGCAGAAAGGGAGAGTCGAGGTCTTGAAGCATGGCATCCCAGATCTGGGATTCGGGCGTATGTAAGGACACACGTGCCTGCACCGATTCCAGCTATTCCCACCGCGATGAAGACCAAGCAAACGCCTGATGAGAAGGAGGAGATGAGCAAGCAGGAACGCCTGAACAAGAATTCAAATTTCTGCCTTCGACGGCCAACCAAACGGATCGGTTGGAGAAGATAACCTCCAAAGCATGCCTCGGCACGAAGATAAGCATGTGAGGACCTTCATATATATATATATATGTATGAATATATATATATATATATGTACATCTACCTTTATACATATCTATATGTATGTATGTATGTATGTATGTATGTATGTATGTATGTATGTATGTCTGTATGTATGTATGTATGTGTATGTGTATATATATATATACATACATACGCAGACATACATATACACGTGTATGTATATATATATATATATTCTTATATTGAATATTATATATTACTATATTATTATGTTATTATATTATTACATCAGTATATTACTGTATTATTATATTATTGTATTCATATATTATATATTATATACTATATATTATATGTTATAATATATAGATATATACACCCCAAACTACAGGTATAAGAATAACAATTCCCGTAGTCAACGCTACAGTGCTGCAGTATGTGGACTACCGTTGGCTCTGAGACGCGCGGCTGGGTGGCTCCGCAAAAGCCCGAGTCTCCGTGGTACGCTATGTCCATGAGAGCGACCTTTCAGACGACCGGAGCAGTGCTTCAAACGCTCAAACTTCTCACGACAGCAGCGTTTGGGAATTGGATGCAGCGAAGTTCGTCTGAACAGACTTGGATGCGCTGTTGTGGTGCCCCACCGCAGCCCAAGGAATATCTCGGATCCCACAGTGGCATCCCCAGTCTAGAGGCCTAGAGGCCACAACGGACGAGGGACAGGTCAGGTCAAATACATCTATGCGAGTAATAACATAGCAATATTAATATTAAATACTGCATAAAGGAAGAAGAACAGAAGCAGTGACAGTAGTAGTTCTTGGTGCTTCATTACACTAGGTTGCATGACTGCACCAGAGGATGGCACGACGCGAACTAAAAGAAAGCAGGGATTCTGCATACGTCCAGTAAGACTACCCACCCCTAAACCCACAAACCACAAACCCCAAAAACCAACAAAAAGCAGCAAAAAAAACAAACCCAATGTGAATAATCTGATCGAACGAATCAAAAAAGCTAGCGCCTGGCTGGTCAAGTCGAGGATACGCTGAACGCAGGCGAGGCAAGCATCTGTAAAGATGCTCAAAGCCTGGCTGGTATAGTTTCTAGTATAAAGTATGTAGCGTATCGTGTATAGTATGTAGTATAAAGTGTGGTATAGTATGGTATAGTATAGCATAGTATAGCACAGCATAGTATAACATTGTATAGCGTAGCATAGCAAAGCATAGCATAGTGTAGTATAGTAGAGTACAGTACAGTGTTGTATAGCGTAGTATAGTGTAGCATAGCATAGTATAGGCTGTCCTGTATAGCATAGTATAGTGCAGTATAGTATAGTGTAATATAGTATAGTGTAGTACATTACAGTATAGTATAGTGCAGTATACCAACCCTTTATGACATCAGCAACTACAAATTCTGAGACCATGGTATTATGCGGATGATTGCACTTCGACTCACAATTTGCTTGCCGGTAACTACGACAGACGACAACAGGCGTGCACAGAGACAATGCCACTGACGTGGCTAGAAGCGGGTCCTGGGCAATGCAGCTCGTGACTGGGTTTGTGCTCAACCCCTCCTGGCACAGGTTCAACATATCGGCCGACAAGGCTGAACCGAAAATCGGTGTCACCATCGGCACCTGCGCACTGAGAAGGGCTTTCACGATCCAACGCCTAAGAAGCCACACTTGGAAGGATGCAATGGTAGGTTGGATGGAAACCAGGATCGCACATGGGGGCTTGTCATGGGCCAATTCTGGGTGCGCGGCACTATCCGCAGAGTCACCATCAGGAAAGACGCAAAGATCAAGGAGCCCAGGTGAGAGGTGACAGCGGCGCAGTAGGCTGAGCGGAGCGGAGACAAAGAGAATCAGTGTCGGAGCATGACCCAACACTCCGCTGATGGCCTTGAAGCATCACGGACGGCCCACAGGTGCCACAAAAGTTGGTACGCCTCTTGCTTCACGCGCTATAACTTGGACTGACGTTGAAAGGCAGCTGGGAAACCGACGAAGTCCCATAGTGTTTGAAATACCAGGTCTCTGCAGTGTAGATCTCAGCAGTGTCCGTGCATAGTGCACAGTGGTCAAACAGTAAACTAGGGGACCCTCACAGCTTCAAAGCCCTCAAACTGTCCTGGGTTCTAGGTCTGGTCTAGTTCTAGTCTAGCAGCTCCTCTCTTGACTGCACCAGTCCCATGACATGCTCAGCCCTGCACCACCACAAAAACGGAGATGTAGTGCAGGAGTTCCATGAGCTTAGCCACGCAGGGCAATGCACAGCCCGCGCAAGCTGCGTAGATGCAGAAGGTACGATCCAAGGAGTTCCAAGAGCAGCAGCGAAAACACAAGCGTCCCACACAAACTCAGGTACAAACCCAGAGGAACATGAAAGTTGCATAGACTGCGCTGGTCAATGCGAGGTCATCCTCAGCAGGAAGCTCTCATGAAGAAGGAACGGTGGGAGGCCGCTGTGGCCTCGCAGGGCCTTGCTTAGTGGTGGGCTGGATTGAAGAGGCTGGAAGGTTTCGTCAGATCCACAGACTGATAGTCTCCAGATGTCACGAGCACAAGGATCAAGACCTTCAAGCGCAGCGCAGTGGCACTTCATCCATTGGAGGCCGAAGGGTTCTCAGCTGGCAACCACCCCACCAACGATGAACGGTACCTACAGCTTTGTTGGGATAAGGCGGGCTTTCATGCGGGAATGACTCCAAGACAATAGGTTTTACAGGGCTTCGGGATGGCCTTCAAGATCAAGCTGAGGATTGGCTCGGCCAACAGGGTCGGCATTGTCATGATGCAGTCTGCAGCCTACACAAGCATTCTCATAGCAGTCTCGCTGGCACGAATTTGGGATAGGACCAAGAGTCGCGATCACAGTTCAAACGACAAGAACAGCATCTAAAATCTAGAACGAAGCCATGTTCAGCTCAACTGATGGCAGATGGCCCCTGTTCCTGATGTACGTTCGCCTTGCGACCACGGTGATCCTTAAAGCATCAACAAGTGGTCAACTGTTTACAGAAGTCCTATTCCTGCGCTTGCCGGCACAGCAGGCGGACAGTGCTTGCTGCTGCCACGCTTCTTACCTGCCGCCTGTGCAAGACGAGCTGACGCCAGCAGCCTTCCTAAGCCTGCTGTGAGTGTGGCAGCGTGATCTCTTATGACTGAGATGCGTCGACCGTTGCCGTGTCGCACTCGCTCCTTCGTGACAACAGCAGTTCTTGAAGCTTCAGCCTGCTGCAGATACTTTTGTTTTGTTTCTACTGACATTATTTTCGTATTGCCGTTACTGTGGCCAGGATGTTCAAGCTCTTGTCGTGTCGCGCAGTGCTACGTTCTGCAGAATTGCCATGCACGAAATCCTCTCACGACAGCGGAGCTGGCATGGTGGTTTCCCTTGTTGTTTTGTGAATTTTCCTTGTGCTGCAAGTGCTGCAGCGTATGAAAATTGATTGGGTCTTTGGGAGGTACCCGAAATCCCTCATCCGGCACCTTTGAACAGGGCTAGGCGGCAAGTCGTACTGTAGCTTGTTTTGTTTCTGGATAGCAGTCAAGATGATGCCGTCATGATACTGCCATGACCAGATTGCACTCTGGCTGTGCTTCAGTCTACTCTTCAGTCTAACCCACTACGTAACCATTGCATGTCTGATTACCGAAACACCGTTTGCAAACTCGAACGAGGCATTAATGCATCAAAATAAGTGGATGCAGTTTCCAAGACTCGGCATGGATTTCCATGGCCAACCCACCCCAACGAAGACTGTCGAAGGACAATACAGGACTGTGGCGAGATCACAACCTGTTCCACGCGACACAACCCATCTGCTCCAAAGAAACAGCCGATGCGGATCCACAGTTTGCACCAACATGAGCGATGCTTTTTCCAGCAGAGTACCAAAACTGATGGAAGTACACAAACATGCCCTTTCACGATTCTAGGATGGTCACCGTGCTTACCCACTGCCCGGCATCATAGCAAAGTATCACTCGACGATCTGCCGACATTGCACCTACGTAGTCCCAACTCATGGTCTGCTAAAAGTGATCTGCTGCGAACTCGACTCCATGGAAACGCGAAAGCTCTGACAGAAGAGTGCCCGGACAGGCCTCCTGCGCAGCTTCTGTTGCCTGACCAGGATTGCAGACCCTCCGTGTCAGCCTGCAATACTGTGGACTTAGAGACATACATTCGAGATATGAAAATCATGTCGAAACACATGTGTATATTCTATATATGTACATATAGGTACATATATATATATACACATAGATGCATGCATCTGCATCTTTATCCGTATAGATAGATATATGGACGGATAGACATACAGACAGATAAAAAGATAGATATATAGATAGATAGATAGATAGATAGATAGATAGATAGATAGAGATGTAGATGTTGGACTGCAAGACTGTATGTGCATAAATACCATACAACATCCCAAACCAGCCCACACCCTCATTAAACCAT